CTGTCGCAAAAAAAAAAAAAAAAAGAAAGAAAAAGAAAGAAACTGTAAGGAAACTATAAGGAGCTAAATTAAACTGGAAACGTGCAGATGTGTTCACTAAAGGTAGTGGCTGTCAGTGTTATCAAAGACCAAAGACCATCAATCTTTTAACCTCAGCTTGCTCATTAACATTATCTTTAAGTAAAGAGGGCTGCCCTCTCAGGACATCTGGATGCTTTGTAGGCTTGGTGGGAGAAGTTTTGTCTGGCCATAAATATTCTGTAATTTTAAGTGTGGTCACCTTGCGATGTAGCTATTTTTAGACCCTAAGTATTAACCTTACCGGTGTCTTGTGAGTGCCTCGCTATTCACTTTAAGATGGAGTCACTCTGGTCATGTCTTATTAAACCAGAGGCCTGGTAAGCAGAACTTCCTCTAACATAATCACTTCTCGAAGGCCCCACCACCAGACACCCCCACATTGGGAATTAGATTTCCACATGTGGATTTGGGGGGGACATAAACATTCAGACCACAGCACAATCCAACCCTCTCAGCCACCCCGCTGTGCTCCTCTCCTTCTCTGGCTTTAACACCTTTGTTTATCTTCTGCTGGCCCTGACCCTTTTTGATGCTTCTGCTTGCGACTTCTCCCCCGGCCCCTGACTAGGGCTATTAGGAGTATAGAGCACTCTACTGTGATTCATCTTTCACACTCAGTAGCCCCAGTGGGGTCCAGAACAAGGGTTCTCATTTATTAATGGGCGTAAGACTCGGACGGGGAGTGTGTTAAGCATGTAAATTCCAGGAGTACATCCTTCCCTCAGGTCCAGTGGTACAGCCAGCATCTGTGGCAGTGGAACTTTTTGTGAAGATGGGAATGTTCTATTCTGTATTGTCCTAAAGATGAGCTACTAGCCACACATGGCAATAGAGCACTTGAAATGTGGCTAACGTGATTGAGAAACTGAATTATTCATTTTATTGCATTTTGATTAAATTTAAATAGCCACATGTGGCTGGTGACTATCATATTGAACAGTGCAGATCTATAGGGTTAGCAAGCATCACAGCTGACTCTAATGAACAATAGTGTTTAAGATTGTAACAAGCCATCCAGGTGACTCTTATGCTCACTTACTGGCAAGTAGTAGTAGGTAATCAACAAATGTTTGTTGAATAAATGAATGAGTGGAGGAACTAATAAAATGAATGAACCACACTATAATTTCCTTGTGATTTAAGGCTGTTTCTCCTGAAAAAGAAAATGTGGGGGACTGTTCCAGATTAAAGAGGCTAAAAAGACTTGACAATCAAATAGAATAAATTGACATTAAAAGGATCCTTGTTCAAAAATGAGCAGAGGTCTTAAAGCCAGACATAGAAAGATACATATTGCATGTTCTCGTTCATATGTGGGAGCTAAAAAAGTTGATCTCATGGAGGTAGAGAGTGAATGATAGTTACCAGAGCCTGGGAAGGGTGTAGACGATAGTGGCAGAGGGAAGAAGAGAGGTTGGTGAATGGATATGAACAGACAGAGAAAACAAGTTTTAGTGTTTGGTAGCAGAGTAGGTGACTATAGCTAGCAACAGTGTATTGTATATGTCAAAATAGCTAGAAGAGAGTCCTGGAAATGTTCCCAACATATAGAAATGATAAATACTTGAGACGACGACCTAAATATCCTGACTTGATGATTACAGATTCTATGCATATAAGAAAATATCACATGTACACCATAACCATGCACAAATATTATGTATCAGTTAAAAATATTTGGGCCGGGCACAGTGGCTCACACCTGTAATCCCAGCACTTTGGGAGGCTGAGGTGGGTGGATCACGAGGTCAAGAGATCGAGACCATCTTGACCAACATGGTGAAACCTCGTCTCTAGTAAAAATACAAAAAATTAGCTAGGCATGGTGGTGGGCGCCTGTAATCCCAGCTACTCAGGAGGTTGAGGCAGGAGAATTGCTTGAACCTGGGAGGCAGAGGTTGTAGTGAGCCGAGATTGCACCACTGCACTCCAGCCGGGGCAACAGTGTGAGACTCTGTCTCAAAAAACAACAACAAAATTTTAAAAAATATATAGTTAGAAGAAATAAGTTATAGTATTTGATAGTACAGTAGAAAAATTATAATTAACAATAATTTATTGTATATCTCAAAATAACTAAAGGAGGCCAGGCACGGTGGCTCATGCCTGTAATCCCAGCAGTTTTGGAGGTCAAGGCAGGTGGATCACTTGAGGTCAGGAGTTCAAGACTAGACTGGCCAACATGGTGAAACCCTGTCTCTACTAAAAACACAAAAATTAGCTAGGCATGGTAGCGCATGATTGTAATCCCAGCTACTTGGGAAGCTGAGGCAAAAGAATTACTTGAACCCAGGAGGTGGAGGTTTCAGTGAGCTACGATGTGCCACTGCACTCCACACTGGGTAACAGAGCAAGGCTCTGTCAAAAAAAAAAAAAAAAAAAAAAAAGCTGAAAGAGAAGAATTATAATGTTCCCAACATAAAGAAAAGTGTTTGAGGTGATGGATATCCCAATTACCCTGATTCGATCATTCCACATTGTATACAGGCATCAAAATATTGCATGTACCCCCAAAACATGTACAACTATTATATATCAATAAAAATGTTTAATAAATAAAAATATTAAAAATTTAAAAATAACTATAATAGACATTTTGGAGACAACTGGAGAAATGTGACTATAGGCATTATACATGATATTAGAAAAGTATTTTTGTTTTCTTAGGGGAGATAATGTTACTATAAGTCTTCATTCTTAGGAAGTACAAGCTGAAGTACTTAGGGATAAAGCATCTTATATCAGCAACTTTCTTTCTTTCTTCCTTTTTTTTGAGATGGAGTTTCGCTCTGTTGCCCAGGCTAGAGTGCAATGGCACGATCTTGATTCACTGCAACCTCTGCCTCCTGGGTTCAAGCAATTTTCCTGCCTCAGCCTCCCTAGTAGCTGGGATTACAGGCACATGCCACTGTGCCCGGTTAATTTTTTTTTTTTTGTAGTTTTAGTAGAGACGGGATTTCACCACGTTGATCAGGCTGGTCTTAAACTCCTGATGTCAGGTGATCCACCTGCTTCGGCCTTCCAAAGTGCTGGGGTTATAGGCTTGAGCCACCGCTCCCGGCTGGCAACTTATTTTCAAGTGGCTCAGTCAAAACTGTGTGTGTGTGTGTGTGTGTGTGTGTGTGTATGTGTGTGTGGTTGGGGGGTGGAGGGAGATTGAGAGAGGGACAGAGAGGAGAGAAAGAAAGGACACAAAAATGGTAAAATGTTAGCAATTGCTGAATCTAGATAAAGTACGTTTTGGTGTTTGTTGTATGTATTCCTTCACCTTTTCTGTATATTTGAAATGTCTTTTTTTTTTTTTCAAGTTGGGGGAAATTTTACCCACAATGAATTGGCAAATTCTAAAGTAAAGTTTTTTTTTTTTTTTTTTTTTTTTTTTTAAGACAGAGTCTTACTCTCTTACCCAGGCTGGAGTGCAGTGGTGCCATTACAGTTCACTGCAGCCTTGACCTCTCAGGCTCAAGCAATCCTCCCACGTCAGTGTCACTCTCAAGTAGCTGGGATCATAGGCATGCTTCACCATGCCCCACTAATTTTTAAATTTTTTTTTTTTTTTCAGTAAAGACAGGATATTGCTATGTTTCTCGGACTGGTCTTGAACTCCTGGGCTCAAGCAATCAACCCACCTCAGCCTCTCAAATTGCTGAGATTACAGGTGTGAGCCATTGCACCTGGCCAAATTTTAAACTTATGGATGTACTGACATTTGGATGCTAACCTCCCCTCCATCACAGACTAACACAGTGCTGAAAGTATGTTACAAATTCTCTGGACCAGATATTGCAAACTGGCAACCTACAGATCCTATCTGGCCAGTATTCATGTTTTTCTTTGGTTCAAATAGAGTGTTGTTTTAAATTAAGTTAGTTGTTAACATTTAAAATTCAGAGTATTTTTATTTTGATATATTATGTAGTAAAATATTTTGCATTGTGATGAAATATAAAATACTACTTTACAATAGCAAACATGTATAGATCACTTCCTGTGAAACAAGCACTGTTCTAAGAGTTTCATGTATATTTAGCTCATTTACTCCTTACAGCAGCACTATGGGATAGGTACTATTATTATCCTCTCTCTACAGATGGGGAAACTGATGAACAAAGAAGTGAAGTAACTTTCCCAAAGTCTTCACAGCCACTGACTTGTAGCGCCAGGGTGTAAACCTGTGCAGTCTGCCTTCTAACCACTAAACCATATCACCACTCACAAAAGTCCACATCCCCAAGGTCTCTGGAAAAACCAAGTCTGGCAACACATTTCCACATGGCATCAATTAACCAGGGCTGAGAAATTTCATTTCCCTGAAGACAGGGCATTTTCTCTTTCACTTGCCAGAGTCTCCGTTCAGTCAACTTCTGGGGCCTTTGGGGTTTTGACCCCTGCTCTAGCACAGCTGAATATACCAGGGGAAATGGCATGTTACAGATATTTCACAGACACCTACACACTGCCCCAGACCAAGTTAGATGTCAGGCTGACCTCTAAGTGGACAGGAAGCCCCAGTGGAAGAGAAGATTAGAAGGTAACGTAGGCCAGATTGTGGGTAGAAGAGTGTTTAGAATGCCAGGATAATTGTCAGCAGACAATGGAGAAAGTTATAGGAAGCAGAAGTTACACATCCCACGGTTGGTAATACGCCCTATCAGAGGGCAGTGGGGGTCGGAGAAAATTGCATGGGCCAGCATGGCCTGGACTACAAAGCTGATTCCATCACTTAGCAGCTGTGTGACCTTGGACAAGTTACTTACCTTCAAGCTTCTGTTTCCTTGACTCAAAAATGGGGATAAAGACACCTCCAGGATGGTGGAAGGAATTAAATGAGACAGTGTGTGAAGTCTCTTTAGCCCCTGTTAGTACAGGTAACCTAACTGCTTTTCTTACTAATCATTTATATTCATATTTTCCCCTAGAGCTAAGAAGCAAGAAGAAATTGGGGCACCATGGTAAGCACCAGGAGCTTATTGAAGCTTCACCATTGAGAGGTCCAGGTCTTCCTTCATTTATCCTGTAGCCCAAGCAGCTAGCAGACTTGCTCTTACGGGTTGATGATGTTTATCAACTTTTTTCCAAACCAGAGATCCTGGACAGAACTTGGAAGAAACTGATGCAGAGTAAGGGGAAAACAGTTGAGAAGGATTTTTGAGCAAAGAGTTTTAGTGAACATTTAAATAAAATAGTCAAAAAGCCAGCAATAATCTAAATGGCTAGCAATTCCTTCATTCAGCAAGCACTGAATACCCACAAAGGTCCAGGGCCCATGCTAGATGCTAGGGACAGAAATGCGAGCAAAACCAGAGCTGGCTGCTGTCCTCCCAGCCCGCCCTCTGGTGGTAGTTGATTAAATGATAGCACACCCATATTCCGGTATGTTACACTGCCATTATGAAGAAAGTCTGTAGAGAATAACTAATAAAACAATCTAGTTTCGTGTTCTAATAGCAACGTAAAAAGCAGGATGAAGAGTTGTATCCATAGTATTATCTGTATGATATAAATAACCTGTAATCCACAACTCAAAAATAACAATTGTCAACAGTGTAGTCCATTATATTCAATTCTTTTTTTCCTATTCTAAACACATCTACCACATATATACAATAAACTGTTGCAAAACTCTAAAAAGTACTTACAGTTGTTATTTCTGGATTGTGGGATTGTGATTTTCCATATATTTCAAGGTTTCTACAAAAAGCAGGCATAAACAGGAAATATGTCAATTAAAACACAGTCACAGACATGCACAGAGCATCTCCTCAGTATTCATTTGTTTTCTTTCCCCTGTCCTTGGTGTGTCCAGGGGAAAGCCCGCAGGCCTCCGCCAGGGCACCACAGGCATTGTGAGGGATGCTTCAACCGCCACTGCCACATTCCTGCGGAACCCAACGTCTCCTGCCTGGTAATAAGCTGCCACCTGCTCTGTGGTGCCACCTTCCACATGTGCAAAGAGGCAGAGCACCAGCTCCTCTGCCCTTTAGAGCAGGTTCCATGCCTCAACTCCGAATATGGCTGCCCTCTGTCCATGTCCCGCCACAAACTGGCCAAGCACCTGCAGGTGTGCCCCGCCAGCGTGGTCTGCTGCTCCATGGAGTGGAACCGCTGGCCAAATGTGGACTCTGAAACCACCCTTCACGAGAACATCATGAAAGAGACCCCCAGTGAGGAGTGTTTGGACACAGCCCTGGCCCTGCAGGACCAGAAGGTCCTCTTCAGATCCTTGAAAATGGTGGAACTTTTCCCAGAAACTAGAGAGGCTACTGAGGAGGAACCAACTATGAATGGTGAAACCGGTGTGGAGGAAATGGGAGGAGCAGTGGGTGGAGTGGATATCAGTTTGGTAACACATGGTTTGTCAGCAACTAATGGGGAGATGGCAGAGCTAAGTCAAGAAGAACGGGAGGTGCTAGCCAAAACCAAAGAAGGGATGGACCTGGCTAAGTTTGGCCAGTGGGAAAATATTTTCAGCAAAGAGCACGCAGCCTCTGCTTTAACAAATTCGTCAGCGAGCTGTGAGAGCAAGAACAAGAATGGCCCAGAGAAGGAACAGATTTCCAGTGGCAATAACATGGTAGAAGGAGAGGGCGCTCCCGAAAAGAAAGAACCACAGGAAAATCAGAAGCAGCAGAACGTTCACACAGCTGTGGAAACCACAGGGCTTGCCCCTTGGCAGGATGGTGTTCTGGAAAGACTGAAAACAGCTGTGGATGCAAAGGACTATAACATGTATCTAGTGCACAATGGGCGGATGCTGATCCACTTTGGTCAGATGCCTGCTTGTACACCCAAGGAGAGAGACTTTGTTTATGGCAAGCTTGAGGCTCAGGAAGTTAAGACTGTTTATACCTTCAAAGTTCCTGTGAGCTACTGTGGAAAGCGAGCTCGACTTGGAGATGCCATGTTGAGTTGTAAGCCGAGTGAACACAAGGCAGTGGATACTTCAGATCTGGGGATCACTGTGGAGGACCTGCCCAAATCAGATCTCATCAAGACCACCCTCCAGTGTGCTTTGGAAAGAGAACTCAAAGGCCACGTCATCTCTGAATCCAGAAGCATTGATGGACTGTTCATGGATTTTGCCACACAAACATACAACTTTGAGCCAGAACAGTTTTCCTCTGGGACAGTGCTGGCTGACCTAACCGCTGCCACCCCAGGGGGACTCCATGTGGAGCTGCACAGTGAGTGTGTCACCAGGAGACACAACAAAAGCAGTTCTGCCTTCACTTTCACTTGCAACAAATTCTTCAGGAGGGATGAGTTTCCCCTGCACTTCAAGAATGTCCACACAGACATTCAGTCATGTCTCAACGGCTGGTTCCAGCATCGATGCCCCCTCGCCTACTTGGGATGTACATTTGTTCAAAACCATTTCCGTCCCCCGGGGCAAAAGGCAAAAGTAATCTACAGCCAGGAGCTCAAGACCTTTGCCATTAAGCCGGAGGTTGCTCCAGAGCTGAGCGAACGAAGGAAGAACAACCATCTTTTGGGTCATGGAGGAAAAAGCCAGAATTCTTTAACCAGCCTGCCCCTGGAGATTTTGCAGTACATTGCTGGGTTCTTGGACAGTGTCAGCCTGGCCCAGCTCTCCCAGGTGTCTGTGCTGATGAGGAATATCTGTGCCACTTTGTTACAAGACAGAGGGATGGTCCTTTTGCAATGGAAGAAGAAGAGGTATTCCCATGGAGGCACCTCCTGGAGAGTCCACAGAGAGGTAAGTCAACACTCATTTATTGATGGATTGATTGACTCATTCAGCAATTTTTTGTTTCATTTTTTACAAACAGGTACTCTCTCTGTTGCCCAGGCAAAAGTGCAGTGGTGCAATCATAGCTTACCACAGCCTCGAACTTCTGGGCTCAAGTGATCCTCTTGCCTTTGTCTTCCAAGTAGCTGGGACTACAGGTGTGCATCACCACATCTGACTAATTTTTAAATTGAGATGGGGTCTCACTGTGTTGTGCAGGCTGGTTTTGAACTCCTGGTCTCAAGTGATCCTCCCATTTCGGCCTCCGAAAGTGCTGAAATTACAGGTGTGAGCCACTGCACCTGGCCTTAACAATTTTTTTTTCTTTTTTTTTTTTTTTTTGAGATGGAGTCTTGCTCTGTCGCCCAGTCTGGAGTGCAGTGGCACAATCTCGGCTCACTGCAATCTCCACCTCCCAGGTTCATGCCATTCTCCTGCCTCAGCCTCCTGAGCAGCTGGGACTACAGGCACCCACCACCATGCCTGGCTAATTTTTTGTATTTTTAGTAGAGATGTGGTTTCACTGTGTTAGCCAGGATGGTCTGGAACTCCTGACCTTGTGATCCGCCCACCTCGGCCTCCCAAAGTGCTGGGATTATAGGCGTGAGCCACCATGCCCAGCCCAACAAATATTTTTAAAGGGCTTTTTTTTTTTTTTTTTTTTTTTTTTTTTTTTTTTTGAGACAGAGTTTGCTCTTGTTGCCCAGGCTGGAGTGCAATGGCATGATCTTGGCTCACCACAACCTCCACGTCCCAGGTTCAAGCGATTCTCCTAGCTGGGATTACAGGCATGCACTACCATACCCTGCTAATTTTATATTTTTAGTAAAGACGGGGTTTCTCCATGTTGGTCAGGCTGGTCTCAAACTCCCAACCTCAGGTGATCCACCCGCCTCAGCCTCCCAAAGTGCTGGGATTACAGGTATGAGCCACTGCACCCCGCCCCTTTTTTTTTTTTTTCTGAGATGGAGTTTTGCTCTTTTTGCCCATGCTGGAGTGCAATGGCACAATCTCGGCTCACCGCAACCTCTGCCTCCCGGGTTCAAGCAATTCTCCTGCCTCATCCTCCCGAGTAGCTGGGATTACAGGCATGCACCACCACACCCGGCTAATTTTGTATTTTTAGTAGAGACAGGCTTTCTCTATGTTGGTCAGACTGGTCTCAAACTCCCAACCTCAGGTGATCCACCCCCATCAGCCTCCCAAAGTGCTGGGATTATAGGCGTGAGCCACTGCGCCCAGCCTTAAACAGCTTGTTATGTGCCAAGCAGGGTACTAGGCATGGGAACAGTTGCTGAGAATAAGACTGACTCAAGGAGGTCAGTTTAGTAGAAAAGACAGACCTATAAACACATAAATAGCAATCCAGAGGGTAGTGCCTGTTCATCTGTGTATGTGTGCTGAATATCTTCTGTTTGCTCACAAGACCCATTCTCCATCCTTCTCCACCCTGTCTGTCCCCCAGGAGGCTGACCTGGACAGATTGCCTCAGCTGGCTCCCTTGCCCTCCAGCTTCCAGTGGGGATAACCTAAATGGAGCATGTCAGCAGGAGATGGGAGGGAGGGAAGAATGAGGTTGAAGTATCTATTCTCCTGGTTTCCCCCTCTGCATGGTTCCTCCCCTTTGTGACACTTTGAGCAGGTGCTGTCCCTCCACTGAAGGTGGCTTTATCAGGTGGCTCTCTCCACAAAATTACTCACTCCGGGATCCAACGACCTTCCTCCTTCTTTTTCAGGCCCAGGGCATAACTCTCTAGGTAGCTACTCACCCTGGGTACTGCACTGTATCTCGTGGCTTTCCTATACCTTGTTCTCGCGTCTGTAAATCATTCCTTTAAAAAAAAAATTCTCTTCAAATTACCAAGTCTGAGAGTGCTGCCTGTTCCCTGCTCTGACTCTGATTGGTACAGGAGGCCAACAAATCTCCTCAGTCCCATGTCAACTCATTTTTTAAAACAGTTTTTGCCTTTGATAAAGACATTTTGAAATTCTAAATGAATTTGGCCCACTGATTTCCCCTGGTTCAAATGCTAATTTAATTGTTCAAAAAACACTCTGCTCTATAGATCAAAGAACCCTTCCCTTCAGAAATACCTTGTTCCTTTTCCCCAATAGGTCATGTTTGTTTAAGTGTATTATAACTTCTACCAGCTTGTACCATACTGAAGTGAGGCTCCTAATTCATCATATCCCAGGGCCTGTAGCATCCTTTCTCATGGTAAACATGTTGGTAATATGAACCATGAATTTATGATGCCCATTTAGGTCAATAATTCCATAATCTCACTGTTGAATTTCTTCCTAGTATGTGGTATTTGCAAATTGGCATCGGGGAGTTAGAGTTGTTTGCATCTATTTTTATTGATTATGTCTAAAACATTTTGTATGTTTTCCATTATTTATTCCTGAGCAGTCTTCCTCAAAAAGTAATTACAAGACTTTCTCTCTCTCGTATACGTGCCTGAATTCAAGTGTTAAATAAACACTGACTGCCAACCTAGCACGTATTAGGAGGAACATGAATGAAGACTAACACACTGCCTTCAGAAATAGTATTGTCTAAAAACACCTAACATCAGATGTAAATAATTTAATTTAGATACTAGAAATCCCATTATTTTTTGGCTCAAGTTTGTCCCCAGTTCAATGCTGGCTGACCACTCTCAGATATTATTTGGGACAAGCTAATTTCCTTGCAGAAAGAAATAAAGAAAATTTAGTTGGGGCTAAAGGATACTCACATTAGAATGGATTTTTAAAGTTAAAAGGGAAATAGTTCTAAGATCTCAAAGAAACCACTTTTCCTACATAGCAACAAGGACAAGAAACTGTAGGTGAAGTAGTCAGGTTGAAAGAGTATTGGGCTATGCCTACTCACATAACCAGACTTGAAAATGGTGACTTTGCCATTACATCCCAGGTGGAAAGACCAGAGGATATTTCAGAACTCATAGAATTTTCCTATGGGGTTCCCATTCTAGTGAGACTCTTATGAGTTAGAATACTTTAATTTCGAGCAATAGAAAATCAACCTAAAGTGGCATAAACAATAAAGGGAGTTTATTGGATTGTGTAACTAAAAAGTCTAACGGTAATGGCTTCAGGTAAGGCTTGATCTAACAGCTCAAAAAATGTCCCCAAATGACATCTCTTCTTTCTGTTTTTTACCTCTACTTCCTCAATAATGGCTACATTGTAAGATAGTTCTCACTCGGTGGTCCCTGGTGATTGCCGGCAGCTCCTAGGACTTCAGCTTCGCAGTTCAAGTACAGAAAGAAAAAGATAATCTGCTTTTTGGTACCTCCAACAAAAGTTCTGGAATAAGAATTGCACTGGTACTAATTGTCCTGATTTGAACTGTGCATCTACTCTAAAATTAATCACTTGCTGGTGGAGGAGCAAGGAAGAGTGTGTGTCAATATGCTGATTGGTGTTAGTGATTCTCACAACTACAGGGCTGGTTGGGAAGATTATTGGTTGGCAGGGGGAATTAGGAGTTGGATGCTGGAGAAGGGGCTACCAAACGTCTTCAGGAGCCACTAAACACTCTGGAGTCTAAGAATATGAAGAACAGAAGGATATTTCCTTATAGTGCCCAAATAAAGCCAGCCAGAGGGTAACACCCCTATATTCACCTTTGAACTTCTATCTTTCTCAACAGATCTGGCAGTTCAGCAGCCTCTTCTCCAAAATCAAGAGCTGGGAGTTTAATGAAGTCACCTCCATGTCCGAGCACCTGAAGTCCTGTCCTTTCAACATCGTAGAGCACAAAACTGACCCGATTCTTTTGACTAGCATGTGTCAGCCCCGTGAGCAGGCCCGAGAGAGCTTAGTCTCCACCTTTAGAGTCAGACCACGAGGAAGATACGTCTCCTAAAAATGCAGATGCCACCCGATGCACCCTTCTTGGATTTCTTCTCGGAGTTCCTGAAGTAGGACAGAGTGTGGTTTTGAGGATTCCCTTCTGTAAACTGCCTATTTGCTTATCAGGGTGTATTGGAACATGCAATGTCCTTCAAAACCTCAACACAAGGCCAAAGAATTTCCTAAGCCATGTCTTGTACCATAGTGACATATTAGTGACTTATTTCCTTTTTTCTTTTCTTTTCTTTTTTCTTTCTTTCTAAAATAGATTGGTCTGAGAAGAAAATAAGTAATTTGAGGCCATTTGGAAGATGGACCCAATTTCTTAAGCGATGAGAGAGCATGAAATTCCATAATCAGTACAGGCCTGTGCTTTTATGGGCTTTTTAGTTTACAGAGCACTTTCAAATTTATGGGACAGGAAACGCAGAATGGGACTAAGGTACAAAGAGTTACTCCCCAGGGAATGCAGGGTGAAGGGAACAAAGCTGGAGGCTCTGGAGCTGGGTCTGTTTTGATGGTCAAGTCCAGGGCTCGTTTTGGCCATTCTACTGCCTCTAGGCCAGGGTAGTTCTAACACAGCCTGACATAGGAGAGCCCCTGACTGAGCATGGCAGCCTTGAAGATACCACAGGCCAAAACATGAGGGGCAGAAATGGGGTCACAGAGTCTGTTGTTAGAATCTTGGCAACATACAGCAGGAAAGCCTTGAGAAATGGGGAGTCCAAAGGAGACACCGTATTTATGGAGAACATTAGGACAAAAAGCCACAAGCCTACTTTGTAACATTTTAATGACTTAAGGGTCAAGATGTTTTTTCCTCAGAAAATTATGTTCTGAGTTAGGCAGAACCTAGGCATGGCCCTGGGCCACCCTGTGCTATCTGAAATGACCTCAATACACTAATGCCAACCTCAGCGTCATGCCAGAATGCACAGGGTAGCCCAGGGAGACCACACCTTTGGCAAAGTCCAGACAAGGCCCACTGCAGTTCCTATGGCACCAGTCACCAGCTCCTAGACACCACTTGGGCACCCCATTGGGGTCTTGGAGAGGAAGACATGTGAACCTAATGGCTCCCTGAAATTGCTCCTACCCATCCATATTGCTGGTCATGCATTCAGTCTGACAAAAATGGATGATACTGCTATTTTTGGTAACAAACAGTGAATATTCATAAGAACAAAAGTAAAAGAAAAAAAGACACAGTAGAAACTAGCATCCCCTAAAGCAGGGCTTCTTAAGAGACTTGGAATATTGACATTTTTTAAATGGATAATTTTTTTTTTTTTTTTTTTGGATGGGGAGGGGATGGAGTTTCACTCTTGTTGCCCAGGTTGGAGCGCAATGACAACGATCTCGGCTCACTGCAACCTCCGCCTCCTGGGTTCAAGCGATTCTCCTGCCTCAGCCTCCTGAGTAGCTGGGATTACACGCCTGGCTAATTTTGTATTTTTAGTAGAGACGGGGTTTCTCCATGTTGGTCAGGCTGGTCTTGAACTCCCGACCTCAGGTGACCTGCCCGCCTTGGCCTCCCAAAGTGCTGGGATTATAGGTGTGAGCCACTGTGCCCGGTCTGAATTGGATAATTATTTGTTGCAAGGGACTGTTCTGTGTGCTACAAGATACTTGGTAGCATCCTTGGCCTATCCATTAAATGCCAGTAGCACCCCCACAGTGGCAACAACCAAAAATGTCACCAGATATTGCTAAAGGTCAGGGAGCAAAATGGCTCCCGGTTGAAAATCCCTAAAGGATGTCATACTAGTGACAATAAGTTAGGATAGGCTTATTTTTTGGTGCAGCAAAATCTTATCTCACATAGTCATCCACAATAGTTATGATTTAATACAGCTCTTTATTTATGAAATAGGTTTTAGACACGTGGTGATTTTAAGTTGGGAACCGGATGGAAATGATTTGTTTGGTATGCCTTCATGTCCTTCATCCACATGCAGGAATGTATCCTTTCAGCTCTCTTTGGTTATACCTGAAGCCAGGAGTGTTGAGTTATTAGCCTTGTGTTTATATTCCTCTCACTGTAATTGGTATCATTTTCCCAGCAGTCCTAGCAGTCCTCAAGCAAGTGGGAAATAGGAAAAGAAAAGGACAGGGATTGTACAGAAGCAGATAATAAAAAATTTAGCCAACAAAAGAAAGAGTCTAGTCAATCTGGGTACTTGTTATTGCCTGGGTTCTCTCTAAACATGGTTCAGAGCTGGTGTAGATGAAGTAGGTGAAACCTCTGAAAAGAGTGGAGAAGGCAGTAGAGCAAGCCCCAGACCAGAAATACGCTCATCTTTTCATTGTCATGTGCCACTCGGCACTATTTGGTAATGTCACTCTATTTTTCCTGATTCCATCCTTTGGTTTATATTTCATATTTGTATATAAGGCACCATTTTCTAAAAATATGACTAGGGTGTGACCTAAGGTTTTATTCTGTGAAGATGAGTAACTGGAAAGAAGCTAACACTACAGTGGGAAGAAAGGAAGAGAGTTGTCCAGGTGGTAGTTCCACATGTTTTGAATCTAGTCCTTCCTACATGGAGGAAAAAAGCTCCTAAATTCCACTCTGGGTTTGTGATTTTAATAGAAATAGAAAGGGAAACTACAGACCCATGGAGATGAAATTCAGGGGCTATGGACGGATAGAGGAGAAAGGTGCTACTTAGAGAATGGAGGAGAAAGGTGCTACTTAGAGAATGGAGGAGAAAGGTGCTACTTGGAGAAAGGAAGAGGGCAGAGGGCTTTCCCTTCCCAAACTGGGTGGGTGGGGGCAGCCTCAAGAGAGTGGCACTGCCCACAACTGCTTGTGGGTTGTACACTTCAAACTGCACTCTTCCCCTCCAGTTGCTGCCTTCAGAGCCGTGTTGAAGCACGAGCTTCAATAAGACAAGCACACTTCATAGTGAGAGGGCAGTGGCACCAAAGCCCTTCAGAGCGACTATGGATTAGACAGAAATGATTTGTGAGAGGAAGCTGGAGTGAACGGCATGAATGGCAAGTGTTATCTGACAGAGGCAAGACAGCTAGATGTGGCTTCAGATTTAGAAACAGCTGAGGGGAGCAAAGAGGGACTGTGTACACAGGGAAGGGACATATCTATGGGCAGAGCCCTTGGTGAGTATCATCACCAAGAAAGGCAAGTCCAGAGTAGAGATCAGCTGAACATGGAGGATGGGTCTGTAGAACTGGGCCAGAGAGGATCTTGCTGCCTTAGTAGCATAAGGGTCTGGAAAAGAAGTTTCTGTCTCACAACAAAGGAAAAAGTGAAAAGCAAGGTGGAACTTGAAGATGTGTCACGAAACTCACTATAAAAATCTGATTTATGTGTGATATCAAATCAAACTGAAGTGAAGAATGAGACTGAGTATATCAGTGGTGACTGACCTCTGTATACTAGAAATCTCAATGTCTCTAGAAGAGGAAATAAAAGCTGCTTTGCACTCTGAAAGGCTAATTGGGTGAATCTTATGAGTTAAGTCTAGAGACAGATGTGTGATTCACGGGCATAGAAGTTGTCGCTGAAACCAAGTGTGTATCATGAACAAAGACCAGAGCACAAGCCAAGCTTGTCCAACCTGCCTTATTGTGCTGTTGTTCTGTTTTGTTTTGTTTTATGTTTTTAGCAGCCTGAAGCCATGGTTTTTAGTTTCTGTCTCTAGTGATAAGCGGAAAAGAGGAATGAGAAAGGGGCTTTACTGGCCCAACCAGAAACAGAAACTATGAACTCATGACTGAATTCTCTCCCTTGGACACCCTGCTGGGCAGCTCACCAACTCTATGAAGCCCTGGAGCAACTAACTATGGGTCTTAGCAACTCATTCTAGCTCCTCCTTGATTCCAATGCCTTCTCCATCTTTTTTTTTTCTTTCTTTCTTTTTTTTTTTTTTGAGACAAGGTCTCACTCTGTCACCCAAGCTGGAGTGCAGTGGTGCGATCACAGCTCACTGAAGCCTTGACTTTGACTTCCCAGGCTCAGGTGATTCTCCCACCTCAGACTACTGAGTACTGGGACTATAGGCCCACACCACCATGCCCAGCCATTGCTCAGGCTGATCTGTTTTGGACTGGGTTTAAAATGCCTAAGGAGGCCAGGTGTAGTGGTTTATGCCTGTAATTCTAGCACTTTGGAGGCTAAGGGGGGGGACGATCACCTGAGGTCAGGAGTTCGAGACCAGCCTGGCCAACATGGGGAAATCCCATCTCTATTAAAAATTCAAAAATTAGCTGGGCGTGGTGGCACACACCTGCAGTCACAGCTACTTGGGAGGCTGAGGCAGGAGAATCTCTTGAACCCGGGAAGTGGAGGTTGCAGTAAGCTTAGATCATGCTGCGGCACCCAAGCCTGGGTAACAGAGCAAGACTCCTTCTCAAAAAAAAAAAAAAAAAGTTCAACCTAAGGAAAAGGCCTAGCCTTTGACATCTAGGGTGCAGGAGAATTGGCAGTGGTAAGAGAAAGTCTCCTGGATATGTCTGCAAGAGGAAAGGTTGGAGCCTTAAGATTTGGGGCCATGAGGGCCACACAAAAAGTATTATTTACCTCAGCATACAGGTGAACCATAGTCTCACTTTATTTCGAATTTTAGGACTGAACAGAAAGAAGGTTCAGAGATATTTCTTCAGGGAAGGAAAGTGGGCAAATAGCACAACCAGGCAAACCACACAATCTAGACGTACTTTTCCGGGTAAACAAACCAGGAAGCCCAGAGCTCATAGAGGACTAGAGCAGAACTTGGGGTGGTAGAGAGGTGTTCATGGGGAAGGAGGCAAGACCACAAGAGAAATGTCCACGAGCTCATCCAGGGTAGAGAGGACTCTTGGGGAAGGGGACCTCCTTCCCCATGCTATCTCTGCCCCAAGCCCTTAATGAAGCGGGAGAGGGAAGTCTGTCCAGAATCTCATCTGGTTAGACATCTGCAAAAGGAATAGGGAGGGGGTGGAGGCAGAGCCACTTTGGACATGGGAAATCACAGTTGCAGTGGACAGTGAGCTCCAGTCACTCCAGAAGCTTGACATAATTTGCAGGGAAGAGTCCAAAGTGGCCATGGCAACGTCCCCGCCACCAGCCCTCGTCCACCATCTCAATGTCAGTGATTACGTCGTCCGGATCAAAGGAAAGCTCATCACTTCCCTCTGAGGAGAAAGTTGAGGGGATATTAGAATGGTCAGACATGAATGTCTCTTCTCCCACGTCCCCTTGTCTTATATCAGGGGCCTGCAGGTACCAGGCTCCTCAGGCCACTCCCAACCTACCTCCTTGGTAATCATATAGGGCCACAGCTGAGATCCCCAGAGTCCCAGCTCCAACCGGGCAGCCTGATCCTGCATAATGAGAAACACAAACATGGTCTCATCAACATGAAGAAGGCAAACAGAGAAAGATCCTACTGGGGCAATGGAGAAATTCTTCTTCCTCTTACCCTCCCCTGGACATGACCAAATTCTCCTGCTTCTCCTCCCATCACTCACCAGCCGGAGCAGAAGAAAAAGAAGAACCTTCAGGCTCGAGCACCTCCTCATAGTCCCCCTCTGGTTCATCCTCCTGCTCATGCCTGTCCATCTCCTCCACATCCTCATAGTCATTCTCGGGCTCGGGCTCAGGCTCTGCTTCATATACTGGCTCTTCTTCCACCTGGAGGCCTTCCAGAGTCCTAGGGGGCAGAGCTGGGGGCTCCTCGTTGTCCTGAGAAGAGACAGTGTGGAGCAGTGTGACTTCCACTCTCCAGGAGGACTCAGTGGAGGAGTAAGACCCCTGCCCTTCACCACCCTGCCTCTTCTCCCCTCCACCCTTGCCTCCATCTAACAGACTGTCCTGGGGAACATAGCCTTTCATCCATCTTCATTCCTCAACCTCCTCCCACACCCACCCACCCAAAACACATTCCAGAGACAATGGGAAGAGAATGTAAAAGGTGTGAGGGGAGGGAAGTAGAAAGTGAGTCAGATTCTTTGGGAGGCCAAGAAAACATTGAAGCAAAAGCACATCGTTGAGCTACCACAGCTAGGATAACCAGCTGTCCTAATTTGCCCAGGACTGAGGAGTTTCCCAGAAGGCAGGGTAGGGTCTTCAGTGCTGACACCAGAACAGTGCAAGGAAAACAAGGATGGTTGGCCACCCTGCACAGCCCACCTTCCTAAGACTGGAGGAGATGGGGTGAGGGCAGAGAATCTTTTTTTTTTTCTTTTTTTTGAGATGGAGTCTCGCTCTGTCGCCCAGGCTGGAGTGCAGTGGTGCGATCTCGGCTCACTGCAAGCTCCACTCCCGGGTTCACACCATTCTCCTGTCTCAGCCTCCTGAGTAGCTGGGACTACAGGTGCCCGCCACCACGCCTGGCTAGTTTTTTGTATTTTTTAGTAGAGACGGGGTTTCACCGTGCTAGCAAGGATGGTCTTGATCTCCTGACCTCGTGATCTGCCCGTCTCAGCCTCCCAAAGTGCTAGGATTACAGGTGTGAGCCACCGCACCCGGCCGGCAGAGAATCTTTGAAGGTTTGCTTACCTCCCGGAGAGTCTGCCTAACGGGCAGCAATGGCACTGGTTGTTCCCTGCTGGTTCTCACAGGCTCAGGCTCTGATGATGGAGGAGTCCCAGCTGGAGGCCAGGCCTGTGGAGAATGAAGCATCTCTCAAGTTAGCAAGCCTCCATCTTCACTCTTTTTTTTGTTTTGTTTTGAGACAGACTCTCGCTCTGTAGCCCAGGCTGGAGTGCAATGGCGCGATAGCTCATTGCAACCTCCGCATCCCGGGTTCAGGCAATTTTCCTGCCTCAGCCTCCTGAGTAGCTGGGAGTACAGGCACGGGCCACCATGCCTGGTTAATTTTTGTATTTTTAGTAGAGACAGGGTTTCACTATGTTGGTCAGGCTGGTCTTGAACTCCTGATCTCCTGACCTCGTGATCCGGCCACCTTGGCCTCCCAAAGTGCTGGGATTACAGGCGTGAGCCACCACGCTTGGCCCATCTTCATTCTTTTTTTTTTTATTTTATATATTTTTTGAGACAGGGTCTCACTCTGCTGCCCTGGCTGGAGCATAGTGGTGAGATCATAGCTTACTGTAGCCTCAAACTCCTGGGCTCAAACGATCCTCCTCTCCAAGTCTCCCAAGTAGCTGGGACTATGGGCACGCACCACAATGCCCAGCTAATTAAAAAAAATTTTTTTATAGAGACAGGGTCTTACTATGTTGCCCAGGTTGGTTTAGAACTCCTAGCTTCAGGTGGTCCTCTTAACTTGGCCTCCCCAAGTGCTAGGATTACAGGCATAAGCCACCACACCATGCATGTCTTCACTGCTACATTTACCAGGAACACCCTCTCCTGCTCTCTGCCAATTCAAATGGAACTCATCCCTCAAGATGAGCTCCAACCTGAAGTGACGGCCCCTTCCTCATAGTTCCTACAGCAATAATTGGCTGTGCTGGCTGGTGACTTGCTTTCTGTGGTACTATGTAAATCTTGAGGGTTTTTTCTGACATTCTGATAGGAGGTGCAATTACAGTCAGACTGAAGTCTTCTAAAGACAGAGACAACAGACCCTGCCTAACCCAGCGGAGGCCTTTGCCTTATTTTCTGCCAATGGTTTGGACCCCTTAGGCTCCTGTCTGGGCAAGAGATCCCGGATGTGGATCCCAGCGGGCCAGGCACTCACCTCTGAGGAGATCTTCTTGGGCAGTGGGGCCGGTACTGTGGGCTCTTCCATAGCTATCACTGGCTGTGGAGCCTCAGGGCTCATCTTTGTCACAGCCTTTCGCTCCTGTTGCCTCCTGGCTACCTGCTGTGCCTTCTCCTCTTCCTCTCGCTTCCTCTTCTCCTCAGCCATGGACTCAAATTTCGCCTTCAGCCCACGAGCACCACTAGAAGCTGCAGACACAGGCAAGAAGAATTAGGGTTGTCTTGGATTGGAGGGTGGGGAAGGGCATGGCACTTGAAGGAAGAAGGGGAATCAGTTAAATATCCAGGAGGAGGGATTTGTGGGACAGGAAGGTAAAGAGGTATTGACAGAGGAACAAGGGGATTATAGGAGGATGGCATAGCCCTGAAGCTTGGTTTTTTTTTTTTTTTTTTTTTTTTTTTTTTGAGACGGCGTTTCACTTTTGTTGCACAGGCTGGAGTGCAATGGAGCGATCTCGGCTCACTGCAATCTCCGCCTCCCAGAAATCAGGCGACTCTCCTGCCTCAGCCTTCCTGAGTAGCTGGGATTACAGGCATGCGCCACCACGCCGGCTAATTTTGTATTTTTAGTAGAGACGGGGTTTCTCCATGTTGGCCAGGCTGGCCTCCAACTTTAGACCTCAGATGATCCACCCGCCTCGGCCTCCCGAAGTGCTGAGATTACAGATTTGAGCCACTGCGCCCGGCGAAGCCTGGATTTTTATAAAGCCAGGCTATGTGACCTCGTGTCTTTTTGTTTTGTTTTGTCTTGTTTTGAGACAGGGTCTCAGCCCAGGCTGGAG